AGAATTGTGATATGCCTTTTTTCTTTGCAAAGAATCTTAAAAGTGTCCTGGAAGTTGCAATCCAATATATATCATAGACTATCAGAATGAGAAGAGATGTGTCATTATGCCTATGACTTTGTTTCTATAGAAAGGGAGAAAGTCACTTACAGTGTAAAACTCTCATGCTTCTAGCCTGTAGGGAAATTGCTTGGGGAGTATGGCCCCCAACTTAGAAGGCAGCTGTGTTATTTGTTTGGCTTCAATAAGATTACTTGTAGATCATGAAAAAAGTGATCTCGCAGATCATCTGGTCTGGTGCTGTGATTTTACAAGGGAGGAAATAGAGAAGCCGCATCGGACAGTTTCATGGCTGGTTAGCAGGCGAGCTGGGATGAGAATCAAGATCCTGTGACTTGCAGACATCTGCCTTCTCCCCAGATTCATGAGCTGCCTACCTCACTGCCACATTTAGGCATAATTACAATGTTATAGGAAGTGATCTACAGTAATTTAAAATCTCATTCCATCTCTATTGTAATGTGTTTGGCTAATACTGGAAGTGGCGGCTGCCACCAAACATCTTTGCCTGGGGAGGCTGTACGCGAAAAAAATTTCACAGACTTTAATTTGACTCGGCTACACGTTTTGTGTTCTAATTTCCCAGCCTCTGCCCTTTTTGTCGCTGGCCATGGACTCTGCCAATGGGTTCTGCAGAAATCTATAGGTTCCACTGAATTTTATATTTGAACATAGCTCAGATTCTAATCTGGTTATAATTTATTTTATGAATTTTTGCCTGGAAATTAAAACAATTTTTTTCCTCATATATAATTTTGTGGTAGCTTTTAAAAAGTGGGTTTTTGCACAAAACATTAATTGTTTATTCACTGGACATGAGCTCAGTATGTAACAGAAATATGAACCATTGTGATGAAAATAAACATATGTAATCACCATTTTGATTAACATTGTTCTAGTATGTGAATCTTTTTTTTTTATTTGTTTATGCACACAAGAGCTAGGGAGCAGGCTAGAGGGGTGTGTGATGCTGAGGGTGGGGTTGAGAGGACTCACCAGAGACAGTGGGAAACAGAACAGGCAGATCTATTGAAATACACTGCTGAGAGGAGCAGCGGGCGAGACAGGAGAGGTCGGCCACACCATGTGGGTCACCTCTCTGGCTGGGAATTGAACTTGTGCTGCAGTAGCTGCAGATGGCTATGTTATGTTATGACATAAACCCTTGCACCATCAGGGAGGTCCCGATCCTTTTGTTTTTATTAAGTTACAATTTCAGTCGACTTAAAGGTGAGTAAATCAATTATGAGAATACATGTGTATATTCTCACATGTGGGAGACTTACGTATATGAGACACATACACTGTGTATACCTTTGTATTATAATGTGGTGACATTAACCTGATTAGCCTTGAACAACAAACATGCTTTCAACTTGGCCTCCCTTCTGTTGATACTGTATAGCCCACGCGGCCACTCCCTGAAATAGAAGCTGTACCATTTACCAGTCTAACCTGTTCGGGTGTTCCTCCCATTGCTATGCTTTTGCCATTCATTTTAAGAAATCAGTGATAATTCAACAAGTGAGAAATAACTACACGCACATTGTCTTTTCACTGGTTTTGCTAAAGAGAAGCGCCCTTAACCATGTTGCCATATTTTGCTTAGTCATGCAATGGAGAAATAAATTGCTAGCATTTCAGGTACTTTGCCAGAAGTGAAGTTGTTTTCAGGAATGTCCTTGCCAAAGAGTCCTCTTCCCATAATGAAAGTCCTTAAAATAGAGAGCATGCTAGAGAATCAGATGGGTGATTGAAAATGGCAAGCTTAAATCTGAGGTGGGTTGAATTTGTGAATGCTGAACTGGTGGATACAGAGAGCTATTTCTTAAAAATAATCTGTCTCATAGCAGGAGTATAATGGACCAGGCGAGAAAATAACAAAAATAATGAACAACCATATATCAGAGACATGTTGTGGGGGTGGAGTGGGGAATGGGAT